TATAAAAATAATTAACAATTAAAATATGTTCTTTACTTATATTATTATTGTTATTTTTATTATTACTATTACTATTATTATTATTATTATTATTATAACAACAACAATAATAACTACAATAATTTTAATTACAATTACCAGCATAATAATAATTATAAAAATTAAACAATTATGTTAATTGATTTAATTAATAATTTGCAACAGCAGGAAAATAAACATCAGTCTATCAATTATTTTTCAAATATTTTGATGATTATGTTAGTTGATTTAATTAATCAATTATGATTATGTTAATTGATTTAATTAATAATTTGCAACAGCAGGAAAATAAACATCAGTCTATCAATTATTTGTCAAATATTTATTAATATTTCATACTTAATTAATTAAAATCCGGAAAAAAAAAATCTTTTAAGGCTCATGACATCTATGGTTTTATCACATTATTAATTTATTAGGCCGTGCATTTCACTTTGTGTACTTCAGCAAGTCACTTTATGCACAACGATCCAGTCTACCTAGCTGGATCAATGGGTTTCACTAAAATGCTGGGTGTATCCTGTGATGGACTTGGATTTCATACAGGGGGAATACCACTCTCTCATCCGCTTTACACTACAGAAACTGGGGATTAGCTCCAGCCATGAGCCCTAGTGGGTTCCGGAAGAATTCACTTTTATGTTGGAACACCTTAATAGTGTAGTGGTAATCAGTAGGTCTATGGTTTTCAAACCTACTGGGTAACCTGTGTGGGAGAGCGACAACCATAGATTCCCCTCCTCCCCCCCACCCACACAGGCACAAGTAAAATTCACCGCTAAGTTTTGAATTCCCGACATCGACACTGATTGTCCGAACCTACATCGCTGAGTCAACCACCCTCCCACACACTATTCTATAATAAGGGATTGGCTAAAAAACATGGCACTTACAGCTCGACAAACATCGCAAATAACATCTTCATCGTATTCTATACCAAGGCCTTCTTCAGTTTGTATTGCATGTTCTATGTTGCTATGGCACTGTGGAAGAAAGAAACAAGAGTCAATGAAAAAACAAACAAAAGGTATGGTACTCTGACTTTTGAATTCATTAACCAATAATTAAAATTCTTTAGACATAATTAAAATTGCATTTTTTCATTAGACTTGATTTGGTGTTTAAAATGCACGTTTTGAAGAGTTTAAAATTCCACATTTTCCTTCAAGGACTAGTAATTAGGTCAATTGGCAAGCCATGGAGAACCCTAGATTATATTACTAATAAAAACCGTGCCCGTATTAATAGCAGTTCACTCTAACCTGCTACGCTCCAGCGAACATGTCACATTGTGAGGAACATAATAGCTTGTGACTTAAGTAAATAAGTCTTGTAAGTATGAATAATGGAGATTTGTATTAAAAGGGGAGTTTTTCTCTGATAGAAGCTACTTAAGTATAAGAGGTTACAAAAATATGAGAAATACAGAATAATGAAATATTAAATTAAAATTACATAGAATACTGACAACATATTTTAGTGTGCACTTTATAATTTTTAGTAATTGTGCTCCTGTTTTATAGCAAATAGGACATATAGTAAATAAAAATACCCCATCAGACTAAATGACTGGCCAGACTTTGATTGTTATGTTAAAGGTATTAAGCATTGTCCAACTTCAAACAGACACAAAAAATAATTATGTCAGATTTCTGATACATACATACACCATCGAATAAAGTCTTATCAAACACTGTAGTGTCTAACAGACAAAATCTGATGTTATATACCCAGCTTAACCTGGAACACATTCAGATTGTTGTGCGCAGTCATACTTTAGTTTGATAAAGGTAGAACACTGTCAAACAAACAGGAAGATATATATATATAATACACATCTAGATGTGTATAAGAGACAGAGCCGGCAGATATATATATATATAATTTTAATTTTATATTTATAAAATAAGCATACACTATCAGATAAATGTCTGATTAAACATTGCTTTTAGTCTGACAAACCAAACATGATGGTAAACTATACCCAGCTTTATAACTAGTAAATAGCCACAGTGACAGATGGTAGATGCAGTCAATCAGTATTGCTAACGAGGAAATAAACCAATGGCTATTCACATAAATTTAAAACTAATGGTCACAAACAAACAGATCTACTTGACTCACAAGCTACATTCGTAATATTTTTAGTGTCTCATATTTCAACTAAGGGTATTCATTCTTAAAAATGTTTATTAATGTACTATTGCTCCTTTATGATTGGTTGTTGTGATGAAATCATATTAGATATTTTTTCAGAAAGAAACCAGAAAAAAAACAAAAACAAAAAAACAAATCAAAAATAGAAATTGACGTTATCAGTTATGAATTTTCAATAAGACAGTATTGGAAATTAACTCAGCTTTTGATAAACTGCAGGTTTCTTACATTCTTGATTTCTATTCAGTTTATAGTCCACGCAATAAATATTGGACAGTGTTATTTATGTGTCTGCTAATTAGGAAAGAAATACTATCTCGTAATTTTCAATTGAATGGTAATAACATGCGTATACTGTACAAACTGAAATTAAAATCTGAAATCAAAATCTTCCATCATCAATTAGATGATTTGTAATAAATCATTTTTTATTTTTATTTGTACATAAATATTGAATAATGTATACCTAGTGTTAAAAAACGAAGATGATTAAAAAGTAGATTCGAAAAAGATCAACATTAAATTGGCCAATTCATTTTAAATATTCTCTTACTGACCGCTAGTCATTAAATCAATTTTATCCCAAACATGGAATAATGTATTTGATTGCACAAAAATATAAAAAATTTTAGTAGCTGTACCTACAAGAAATATCAAATACATTGGACAATAATTAACAACATTGCCTTTTAATCATTATTATTTCTTTGCAACTCACCTGTGTTTCGCATTCCTCAATGATTTTCTCCATGGTTAATTCATCAATCGCTGAATAACCTAGTAAGATAACAAAATATCAAGGTTAAATATAATACAGTGCACCCGCAAAATGGAGACATCTCTAATTCTGAATATCTTTAATTCGAGACCACTTTTTCAAAGAACAAAATAACAATCTTCAATCTAACACTAAGCTACCCCTCTACGTGGAAACTGAACCCCTGAGACTACCCAAAATTGTCATGTTCCAAGTTGGTCTTGAATTGGAGGGCTAACTTTTCATACAAATAATTTGTTTTTAGCTACATCATTAAATACTGTATTTGTACTATGAACATCATAGTTCTTTGGGTTTAAACGCATTTCCTTAGATACAAAAAAAAAAAAAATAAAAAAATAATTGTAGATAGGCTTTAAATACCCACAGTTCTAGTCTATCATAACCCAGAGTTAGGGGTAGGTAGCCTGGAGCTAGGCCTAACAACAAATATTTTAATGATGCAATTTCTCTTCTTGGTTCATAGTACTTTTAGAAATTGTTATCCGGGAAAACAAATAATAAACCAATTTTGCATGAAATTTGGGAATTTTGCATGAAAAAGAGGGTGGACTTAAGTGAACCCATGGTAACAAAATACTTTCAATAAAGCAAACATTACTCATGAATATTTAAATAATTACACTGGAACCAGTGAATATTTAATCATGATGAATATTTAAATATTTTCATTAACATGCATTATTTATGTCATTTGTAAATGATTTGCGTTCATAAGAGTCTCACTGACACAGGGTATGATATTACCACACTAATATTATCGAAATAAATTGCATCCTTGGTAAATCAAACCCTTGTTGAACCACAGGCTCATATGGGATGGAGCTTACCCCCCTCCCCCCACCTCCCAGTTTCAAGTAACGTGATGCGGATGAGAGTATGACATTCCCTTCCCAGCTGGTACCCCTTGGTACAGCTGGATAGACTGAAGTATCAGAAGGTGCCTTGCACAAGGACCTAGATGTTGGGAAACCAAAACATTTCTACTGCACCAAACCACCTCCTATGCACTTTACATTATTACACCAGTCAACTAAATACCCATGCAACACACTGCCACAGGGTTGGGAGGACCATTTCATAAGCACCTAGAATAAGCCTGTTGTATCAGATCCTACATTCCAGGTTTACCACTTATACAGTATACACGTACTGACTGTACCTAAGGCCCAATAAAAAAAAATTATTAGTTTATCACCCCTTTCTCATCACTTTTGGGGAAATTCAGATTTTTTTTTTTTTTCTTTTTTCAATCAACATAGGCCATATTTTTATTTCAAGCGGTCGTTATTCCATCTTTTTTCACTTGAAAAGCTAAGGATTTCTTGCAAATATGTTTACTGGTACAACAAAAACATATTTTTAAAATCTAAATTTGATTCCCTTCTTATGACTTTTTATATATTTTTCCCTAACCATTGATTTACTTGCGAAGATCTGTAAAATGGGGGCGAGGTTACAAAAAAAGAAAAAAAAAAAAAAAACCTCCCTCCCTCATCAGTTTTTATTCTTTGATAGGGTGATAAACTAACAACTAACAATTTTTTTTTTATGAGGCGTAAATTGCTACACATATAATGTACTGTATGGTAACATGTTTTATTTACAATTTTAAAAATACTGTATGGCAGTTCATAAGTGGAATTATGTTTATCTGTTATTATAATGAATAATAACTTTTGACTCATCAATAAAACTAAATAGAGTTCAATATCATGAAACCAAACAACCATAGAGAATAATCACATTTTTGCATATTTACACTAACATTCAATTACCAACACCACTACCCTTTGACCATTAAAGCTAGTGAATTTGAAATGCAAACATTTCTGCAATGTTTGTAGTTTGATACCCCCACCTTTTATGTAATGAAATTTCTTCACTGTTTCAGCTGTATTGATTCTCCTAGCTAATAATTTATTTAGACAAACTCTGGAGAAAGATTCCTGGCAGAACATTTTGGGACAATTCTCCTTCTCAACCAATCACAGCATAGCAAGTTCAGGATGCTTACATTATCAAAAAGCATTAATAGATGAGAAAGCAGGCTTTAGATAATTATGACATGATATACTCATGGAAATAATGCTTGAACATTCCGACACATCCTAAATAAAATCATAAGCTTACAGTGTTTAAAATCTTTAACAGGCAGACAGATGTAAATGTTATAATTATGACATCAACTTGTCAGGAATTACCATGCAAAAAGCGTTTCTCATTAAAATAAAATGAAGACGGCCATTTATTGAATGTTCATGTAGACTACCATAGGGATATGTTTATGATTCAATGACACACTTTCAAGTAATAAATTCATATAGCTGAACGTCTAAAAGTGCTTCACTTTATTGAATTGTGTGTACAAATATATACAGTATGCTCTGTTTGAGCCTGCCATACAGATAAGCCTGTATGTATATGTGTGAATGGGCAGGCCTTGCTCTAACTTACTTTGGTTACTAGCCCGCTGGGCTAAATTGCTAGAGATGTTACTAGCCCATAGACGGTTTTACTAGCCCACTATATTTTCTTTAGGCTCATATGTAGGTATGAAGGAAATACCTTGGTAATTTATCAGGCAAGTTAAGGAGGTAGATGATTATTATTATTATTATTATTATTATTATTATTATTAAATTATTGTAGTATTTATTATTATAGTATTCCTAGATTATTATTACAAATATTATGAATAATGAATATATCCTTCTTACATTTTCAATTTCTATAGCCTATATTGATTGTTTATTTATGATTTTTGTGTTTATGCCCCCTCGGGGGAAATGCATTATGTTATGATCTGGCAGTTAAATACTGTGGCAAAAAAGGTAAATCCGGTGGAGGTGCATGATGGCAGCAGGGGCTTAAGCCCTCCACCGGACAGGTCAAGGGTCCCACATTCGACAGAGTTCGTCGGGCAGTCAGACTAAAAAATATATAAAAATAGGCCCAAGCCACACCAACACATGTCTGTCACAATCTGAGAGTGTCATTTCTGGCTATCCAGAGGTTCCTAATTCTTTAAAAAAATCTCATTTGAGGGGAAGACCCTATCAAACCCTCCCCTTAGCTCAGGCCTACCAGCCCAAGTCCCCCTGTCGGACAGCTCAGCTCCCACACCCCCCCCCCCAAAAATATATCTTAGAGCCGCCACTGCATGATGGGTCATCGTAAGTACCCTATTACTGTACAAGAGTCATAAAAGAATATACCGCTACACATTTCCTGATAACCGAGTCCCATATGGATACTTTATTAGTAAACATAATACCGTAAGGCAGTATATAGGGCAGAGACACTCCTCCTCCTAGGAGCCTATTTTTTGTCATTTGATTGTATTTTATTGTATGTGTTGTTGGCCCTAGAGAATAACAATGCTTTGGCACTGAGCTAGTCACCCATAAAGAAGATATTATAAAAAAATAAATAAATAAAATAAATAAATAAATAAAAATAATATTAAAATAATAATAAATAATAATAATAATAATAATAATAATAATAATAATAATAATAATAATAATAATAATAATAATAGTAATAATAATAATAATAATAAAAACTGGTATTAATGCCAAGTATGTTTAATTCACTGTTTCAAGCCTTAACATAAACCCTTAAAGAAAAATGATATTTTTTTTCCACTATAACTTTGTCAAGAGAAAATAAATTAAGGTCTGATCTTTTTTGAATATAAAGAAAAGAAAAAAACATGTATTTTATTACATGGCCCAACATATGTTAATGCAAATAAGCAGTAACGGTGGGAGCGAGTCATTTAGACGCCCACATGATTTGCCTTTTACTAGTTAAGAAATTTTCTGGCTGATGAGAATATATTTTGAGACTAGATAAAAAAAATAATTTTATTGTACAGTTGCTCAAGGGTAATTATCTGTGGTGTAATCAATAGGATAAATGATTTCTATATAAAAGAGTGAATCTACTGTATAGCTTTTTAGGTGAGACGTTTGTTTATACCTAGTTTATTGGTTGTTTCCCGGCATAGTTCGGCCGTCTTTTGGACGGCCTACAGTTATTTAGGACAGCCATTTTTACCGTGACGGTTTGGATGGCTTGTCCTAATCAGCTCAGCCTAGCCTAATTGGGTCGTAGGGATTCTCAAAGATGAGCGTGGCCCGGCCATCGGCTCAGTGCCACGCCCGCTGGCTCCTATTTTGGACGGCCTATTTCGCTTTTCTGGCTAAACCCCTGCTTCCCGGTGTACTGCCCAATCACCAAAGGAAGGACTACAATGGAAATAAGCTCTCTCAGACTTTTGAGGCTAATCCTCGGCGTTTACACCGAGTAAATCCACCCATCTTGAGTGGAGTGTAAAAAAAATCCATGTTTGTGTGCTTGGATCAAAATTAAAAAAGACACACTTTAACAATGAAACATCTCCTCATTTGAATGGTCAATATTTTTCACTTACCCGTCTCTTCTCTCTCACGGTTTGCAATCTCCAGCCAGACCCTGTCGGTCTCATCCAGATCATACTTGCAGACGGCCTCGAGAGACTGCCAGAACCCTTTCATATCCTTGTCATCCTCATCCTCATTGCCCTTCGGGGGCAGCTTAACAAGTTTGCGAGGTCTATAAAAAATTAAACAAGGTATACAATTTTAAAAATTAAAAATTATTTCTTGAAGTTTCACATGGCAAGTATCAATAATAAAATAATTAAATTTTTGGTACGCTGTTTTTATTTTTTTAGGTAACTGTAAAACCACTTGTTGATTGTCGAAGTTTCGTTATATTTTACATGCGTTATTAAATAAAACCAAACAATTATTAGTACCTTAAACGTTTACAGTAGCTTTCCAAGAAGTGCATCACCTAGACAACTAATCTCTAGTAGTAACAATATTCCACAACTAATCTCTTGCGGTTACACACTTCCTAAACAGCTTATTTTCCTGGGTATAGCATTCTCATGGAAACAACATTAACCAGGGTAATAATTATTTTCCTCTGGACAACACATCTCTCTCAGGGATTTCAACTTCCAGGCAATTTATCTTCTGAGGAAAATAACACAGGAAGCTCACAGTATCAGGAGAACATTATCTCGAAGGTTACAATACCTCATATTGGAGACCTCTATTCCCAGGCTAACAACTTCCTAGGTAACACATTTCCCAGGCAAATAATTGCACAGGAACACATATTTTTTAAGGGATATACTGTACCTCATCTTCCTGGAACTTAACTCTCATGACACTTTTTGCTGGGTAACACATATACCTTATCAACAAAATTCAGTAATTTACGAGGGTTTGAAACTACCTGGGTACATCATAACCTTCTGTAAAACACATCCTTAAAGAATACAATGTCTACAAAGGAATCAAATTTCCAGAAAACGAAATCACTGACTCTAAAAACTAGGCAACCATATTAATATATGCAAGAATTGCTATGCAAAAACTATATTTATCCTAGACTATCTTTCATTAATAACACATTTTTCGTCTCCTGTGAGATGATTTATGCTCAGTCAGCAGTACTCTCGGGGGACTACAGGTGGTTTCACATGAATAAACATGTAATTAGCCGCCATGTATCTAATAACTTCGCAAAGAATATTGGGTGAGCTAAGGAAATGAAGCTGATAAAGCTATAGTCAGTATGCATGCCCATCATTCTTGTCTATTGTGAATTCAGACGATGGAACTCCAGACATCAACAGGGAAAATTGTTTGGATAACATTCCATTAATGTGTCATGATTAGTACATTCTCGCTAGTCATCTGTAGATAATTAATCACTTGATCATGTTTTTTTTTTTTTTTATGACACTTTGATTAGCTGGATTTCCTCCAAGGCTGAAGTATTATACATATACATCACCCTGTACAATTTCCATTTTTGTCTACATCAGGGAAGAACTTTCACATCAGAGATGGGGGAAAAATACCACCTCATCACCACAATGGTTGGGGCTGAAGTAAGAAAATTTATGATTATGGCACCTCTACATGGTCGGAAATGGCAATCTCAGAATATTTGAATATAATTTTCTTTCCTTCTCCATTTCATTTGAGAATTGTGGAAAAAAAAAAAAGAAAAGAAAAAAAAAAAAAACAACTTGCACTCTAGGTTCCTGGCACTAAACATTTTTCTACCACAAAAATAATAAAAAAAAAAATAAAATAAGAAAATTCACTCACCCAGTGGTTGGGTTTGAGGTGAGCAAATTTTTTGCTGGTGCTACAAATAGTTAGACATTACATCATATCAGCATCCCACTTAATCCATTATCCCTATTAGTCTACCTTTCCCCATGTTAATACCATACTCTTGTAAACAATGCTAGAGTAGGGTTGCCTAGGTGGTGTTTCTATAAACAGTAAACTTTTTTATAAAAATCGACTGGAAAATGATTTATTTTTAGCTATGTTGCGCTGGCCGGATCAAAATCTTTGGCAGGCCGGGGGATGAATACCAGGGCAGTAGAATATATTGGATCTAATGGCCACCAATACAAAAAAGATCTATAAATCAATCAGCAAAAAAGATCAGTCAATCAGCTGGGTATTCCTTGATAAAGGTAGAGGTAGGAGAATAACCCGACACTCACAGCATCATTGTGCTGAATTGCGTGGGCGTGGTCTGTGACTACCTAGTCGCAATAAAGAGGTGGTTACAGCTACGTGTTTACATCATTCCCAACGATGGAGCTGAAATGAACCATAGCATCGGAGTAACCATCTACTCTCACGAAAGACGCAATGGGTTATTTGAAGTGCACACAAGCCAGTGTGTACACTGGATCTCCATTTTTTAAGTCATTATCCGTGAAGACTCGGTTCTAATAGCTGAACCCTGGGTGATGAGTGGCTCCAACAGGCAGTTACGGCTGTACTTAGCAGCGCCCCTGTCATACTTGCTGTCTACTTGCTGATGAAGAGAACACCTGACAAATATTAAACTCTGGAAATTATCCTAATATAATCTCTAAAAACTGAACTAAAATTATGATTTGGAATTTCTTGCTGGAAAAGAACATACACAGAGTTTTGTACTAAAAACATTCACGACAAACTTTACATGTAAGCCTGACATTATCAGATGCCAACTACTACAGTTGAACTTGCGAAATGGCATTACAAAATTGTTCGACTTAGATATAATTAATTATTTAATGGAAAACACAACAATTTGGCATGTAAAATATGATCGACATAGAAAGTTTTACTGTATATAAGAATATCTTGATTGACAGTGTTATGTTATTGCACTATTGAGTGTTATGTCAACCATAATCATATATTATGGTCACAAAACAGATTTCAAGGAATGCATAAAGACCACTCTACTGTTTTTCTTTGTCAATAAAACTAAGTGTATTCGCCTCTGTCCAGACATTCTTAGCAGAACCATTTTGATACAGTAGATGATGAAAGAACGTTTTTATATATGAGGTATCTTGCCTATAAATAAGGTTTATTGAGAAAAAAAAAGCCGCAATGCATAATGGGATCTAAAAGCGGGCAACAGAAATGGTGGTGGTGTGGTGTGCTGTCTGACTGACCACAATTTAGCCGTTAATAGCAAATATCGTGTGTGTTGTTGTTTTCTGCACCCTTTCTAATCCCATCATGCTCTGTTGTGGAATGTCCTCCGTTGATATTTCTTGACTCGCAATAAACCATATGAACTTACATCTTGTACACGCCAGGTGTTTTAGGCCGAACTTCCTCCACATTCGCAAAAGGTACACGGTTCGGATTAACAGGCACTTGCACACCTTTCTCCCACTCCGGTTTCCACGTGTCGGCCATCAGAAAATAGTCATTATGATCCAGATGAGCCGAATCCGGGAGTTTCATGGCACTAATTAAATCCTTGCGGAAAACCTGTAAAACCAATGATGACTTAGTTTAATAATAAGGTTTGTTTAGGAATGTTTTCTACAAACAGCAGGGTTTTAGCTACTGTAGAAAACTAAGGGTGGGTTATAGATATTTTAAGGGTGGGTAGATAAAAAACGCAAGAGTGAATTTTAACGATGGAAAACACGGGTAATAAGGGTGAGTGGAGGGCCATAAATTTGCTTTAGAGTGGGTAGAAAATTTCAAGGCTGGGTGGCACCACCCACCCTAACTACATCCCCAAATCAGTGTATACTGAAGTCATAAAGTATATAGTATACTACTGTACAGGTCTCCATTCACTTCCAGACAATTTTGGTACTGGGGTTTACCTGGTCTTTTTAATTAGAAAAATTATTATTACATAAATCTAAAAAAAAGATAAACGCTCATTTGTGGTTGCAAAAAGGTGGTCTTATAATTGGAAGTGGTATTTAATCGGAAGAGAGGTATTTAATTACAAGGAGACATGTACAACCATTTTCACTACATTAGACGGCACCAAAATATTAGCTCCGGCTAGATGAAGCACCGAAACAACACTGAACTGGTGTGCCAAACCACCTTTCCCAATATCTACATTCGTTAAGTAGTGAGGAATTTTGTTTAATTTCATTCTAATTTACAATTGAATATCTTTTTTTTTATAAATACAAAGAAAGTAATTCAAATATTGGGCTTATTGCGTGGTTTAACGAAGAACGACCAGTCGAATACGGCCATTGATTTTTCAAGTCTATTTTGGAAATGATAATATATAGACATTACTGCATGATAAAGACCAATATGAGACTAATTGGATCGGATTGGATTTATTCGGTGTAAACACCAAGGATATCCCACGAAAGTCTAGAAGAAGACTTATTTCCAGTGGGTTCCTTCTAGTGGTGATGGGCAGTGCACCGGGAGATAATCCCCTACTCTTTTCCGAAGAGTGTACTGCGTTCTTTAATGTGCACATGGGCCATAATGCACACGGGACCAACAGCTTAAACGTCTCATCCGAAAGACAGTGGGCTATTGTAACTTGTATTTCAGCCCTCTAGCTGAAACACAAGGAGAGGCAGCGATGGGAATTGAACCGAGGACATAGTGGTCTTCACGGTTCAGCGCACACACAGTGGCTACCACTAGATAAGCAAAGACTTGTGTGCAATAAGTATAAGTTAATAAGCTCTCTTATAAAACACCTAAAAACCCTTAAATATTGGAATTTAAATTAGAATTTTAATAATCTTATATTTAAACATGTTTAGAACTGTTATCATTTAAGCATGTTTCTATTATCTCTATAATGCGCAATGAGCATCAATTTTTTTATTTTTATTTCTTTTGTAACTATATGAAATTGATGAATTCTTTACTTACTTTTTTACTAGGTAGCATCAAAATAATTTGACATGTTTTTAAATTGAATTCTTAACAGAAAATTTTATTGCATCAGAATATATTAATATTTTAAATGCTTAACTTTTAATGCTTTGCTTTTATAAGCAAAATTTTATATTGTACGCATTTGCGTTTTTGTGAAATGGCCCCCACTCGACAGTGGTTTAGTCTACTTTTGGTGTGTTTTTGTCTCATGTTATTTGTGTTTGTTCCTTACTGTTTCGGTTTTTGTAAATTTCAAAGTTTTTAAGACAAATAAAATAAATGACAAAAAAAAAAATCAAAAAAAGAGAACCAAATTCTTGATAAGTTGACAACCTAAACAAGCAAAAAAAAAAATTTAAAAAATAAAATGTTTTGTGTTTCCTTATTATACCACAGCCAATATATCTTTTAACATGCACCAATAGATGAGATGACACTTCCTCCCAGGGACTTTTTAATTCATGTGTACTCACCTCCGCAGGCTGGTTGTGGCTAGTAGATTGGCTATACATGGTTGTCTTGTTGCACAAACAAGTTTAGTATTCAATTATGGTTTATTTTTCGACTTCCCTTGCCATTCTCGCAGAAGCTATGTTGTAAACACCTAGTAAAAAAAGAAACAAATTGAAAAAAATTATAAATATATCTTGCATATAATAATAACAACATTTCAAAAACTTATCAAAGGCGCTAGGTGAGGAAATAAAGCAAGTTAACGTTCTAGTAATAGGTAAGTTTTAATCAGTTAGCGATGAATAGCAGGGCAGTGCAGTATTTTGTTACAATTAATGTAACCACGGAAACATTTATTGCATTCTTCTTGTCTTTATCTATCAATTTAGCTTGTCTATTGTGTTTAGGTAAACGAATTATTTTGTTACAATTTGTAAACTGTTGAAATAATAGTGGTGGTCGGGAGCCTGTAAATCCTGGTTGGAAATGTCGAGTGCTGGACGAGCCCGTCCACCGCCGACCAGCGTGGTGACATCCCTGATTAGTCACATAAATATTTTATAGTGTGGACAGAGGTTTAGTCACTTGACTCGCTAGGATCAAAGTGACATTAGGGAGCCTTCGATTGCACGACAACGGTAAGACGTAGAACGTAATGACGTCACTAACAGTACAGTAATCTGCGCATGCGAGAACGTTAAGGTCACCTCATCGAGTAGATTCTGGAACGCAATTTGGCCAAACCTAGGAATGCAGAGAACGTAGGATGCCAGGTAGGACGGTCACGCATGAGTGATTCCGTTCTAGAATCGTGTCGTCGCACAAATCGAAAGCTCCTTATTTCCATGCATATTTGACAAAAACATGTGACATGCCTAAATATGGTCATGATGACATCACATCATGACCATATTGAGGCACATCATCACTATATATGGGCATACAACAGTTTTTTTTTTTGTCAAAGAAAATTTGATACATTAGTATGGAAAAAGCATTAATCTACCAGGTCAAGCATGAGCAAATGATAAATACCACTTTATAATCTATATTATAGGATTAATATGATTATGATCTACAAATCATAACATTAATATCAAACTGTTCAAATTACATTCCCTCTAGTCTAGAAAAGAAACAATTTAATATGTTAATCCAGAGTAATAATTTACTAAGATATGTAAAAAAATTCCATAGTAATTGAAAAAACATAATAAACCATTAAATGCTTCAATATGTACAGGTCATATAGAGTTCATTTATTATGTTACATCCATTAAAAATTAGTCAATTCTAAATTTGTACACAATATTATTTATTTGAGTCTGTGATAACCAACTGTTGAGTGACAATTCTATATTTTTTTAGTCAAAGAATCACAGTTCTTTATTTGAGTAATTAGGCCTATAGTACTTTAAAATTAAATTGTATGTCATTTCACAATAATAGAAATAAACAATAATGACAAAGTATTAACAGCATTACTCAGTGATGTAGTTATGGTGGGCGGTGCCACCCAACCTTGAAGTTTTCCACCCAGGCTAAAGCCAATTTTATTGCCCTCTACCCACCTTTATTAACCCCCCTTGCACGATCCTTAAAATCCACTCTTATTATTTATTTCAATGTTATCACCTACTGAACCTATCCACCCTTATAGTTTTCTGTAGCTACAACCATGCGATATTGGTCTGGTTAAATGGTAAATTTTCTAAATTGTTTTTGGCGTTTTTTGTTGTCATTTGTCACGGTAACATGTAACACTGCTTCATAATACTACAACATGCTACAACCAAGCGATTAATAGCCTACAGTTGAGTGCCACATTTTCCATAGCTATTTTAAAATAGATTAGGCCTAAAAAAAAAAAAAAAATGGTTTGTTTACTGTCACATTGTAAATATTTAAGTGAAGGGGTGGGCAGAATTTTTTTTTTTTTTTTAAAGAAAGATTACCCAGGGGT